TGATTCTCTTACTATTCCTACTTTCAAAGGAGGAAACAAGCTCAAAGATACTGTTCTGCTCACCTAAGGTCAAACAGCAAACATGTATAGGGTATGGGTTTGATACCAATTAAGCCTGAACTTAGCTTAGAACCTGCTTTGAGCTTTCCAAACTCAATGTGAGGAACACATAGACCCTGTAATTCCATCCATAAAATGGAAGAAATTACTCACCTATAGTGTGCTAACTTTGAAACAAAACAGGTAGTCATGATTGTAGCTCCAGGGGCTCTGGGTATGTCCAGTGTAGACAGAGAAGGAACTCAGGATCAGGAAAATAAAGAGCTAAGCAGGAGACACCCTTAACTCATGGCTGTCCAGCCTAAGTACATATACCCTCATTGCCTTGGGGAGAGTGTTTTCAGGATGCCTGGGCACTGCTTCTTGACGAAGGAATTCAGGGTGTTTGGGGTGGAACCTAGAAACCTCTTTTTTTTTTTTTTTTTTTTGGTTTTTCGAGACAGGGTTTCTCTGTATAGCCCTGGCTGTCCTGGAACTCACTCTGTAGACCAGGCTGGCCTCGAACTCAGAAATCCGCCTGCCTCTGCCTCCCAAGTGCTGGGATTAAAGGCGTGCGCCACCACTGCCCGGCTAGAAACCTCATTTATTCAAACATTTGGGCTCACAAGGACTTTTTCTGAGAATCATTGCCCTAAATTAATGAAGAGGGGGACATTGCTAGGGGACAACAGAGGATCCGTGAGGCTGGGTGAATGGAGGTCATGTCACTTTCGAACCGAGACCAGCTAGAGAAGCACACAGTAGGCCTGCAATGAGCTCAGTGGTGGGGCAGTGGTGTTGGGGACAGAAATCCACATCTGCCTGATTCTCAAGCTGCGGAGTGTGGGGTGGGATTTCCTCAGACTTTTAGAGAGTCAGGCCCAGGCCCTGTTCTAAATAGGCAGGAGGAGGTCAGTTGCCTTGCTAGAAAGGGGTTCCACCCATATTGTGCTCTCCCAAGCCTCCTGTTCTGGGTACTGGGAACTTGGGACAAGTAAAAGGCAGAAACTGAAGCTGTTCATGGGGTGCTGCTTCTCACTGGGGTCCTGTGGTTTAGCCACAGCTTATTCTACCACAAAATCTGGTTGCCTGCTCCTAGAGAACAGAGTGAGGAAATAACGCCCCCTCTGGGTTGGCGAGGGAAACAAGGTGGCCTTTCACCCCAGAATCAGTTTTCTGGCTCCAAGGACCTCAGAGATGCCTCTATTGAGGGCAACTAGCGGATAAGTGACCACACCATTCACCCTTGTCTGATGTCATGCACGTTGAGCGAGCAGAGATGGAAGGCGGGGCAGAGGAAGAGGTGGCTCTTGTGTCCTCCCATTCCCCTCCCACCCAGGGCATCTGCAGCATCGGCGAAGCAGCGAGACGCTTGTCCTACAGCGCCTCCTCCTGGACAAAGCTCCAGACAGCCAAAAAGGGACACCACCAGCCCTAGAAAACCAAGACCTGGCACTTCCTTCCTGGGGCATCAGAAGTTGGTTCTGCCACGCCCACTGGAGAGGCAAAAAGGAGTCAAAAGTCCTTGAGGCTACCTCTCACCGCCCTACCCCCAGCTCAGACAACAAGCTTGTGACCCAGAAGCGAGCATCCCTCATTGATTAGGCGAGGCAGGAGGAAAATCCCTCGTTTGTTCATGTATTTATTTACTTATTTATTTATTTGATTGCTCTCTGCTGAGTCTGAGCCTTAGGACGTGCTGTGCTGGTGTACGTAATAAGATCCGAGAACAGTTGTCCTGAAGTTTGTCAGTTTGAACAGGCGCCAGGAAGAGAGGCCTTTTCCAAGAGCAGGCAGTGCAGCCTGAAAAAAAAAATGTTTGTGTGTGTCTGAGGGTCGTGTGTGTGTGTGTGTGTGTGTGTACACTTGGAAAAGAAAAAAAAATCTACTCACTACTAGCTCATATTTGCAACCTATTTCTAATGTACAAACACATTAGGGTGGGGTGGTTTAAGTCTAAGATTGAAAGTAATTGTAGTTAAGGGTAAATTAGTGGCTATCTTTACATGAAAAGCTGGAAGAAACGATGAACAGCAAATCCTAAGGAAGGGGTAATGGGTCTGGTTATCTCCTCTTATCGCTCCCTCCCCCAGTCCGTGCAGTGCTGGGTCAATCCCTGGGCTGGGCTATTTCTCTGCACATGCGCTGGGCGTGCACAGCCCCGCACTGCGGAGGCTCTGAGCAATGCCCGCCTCAAGCACAGTGCCCTGGGCTCCACCGCGGGCGCTACTCCAGCACCTGGCTGTGGAGGGACTCGAAAATCCTATCTTAAAAAAAAAAAAGCAGGAAACCTAGTTTTCTTTTGCAGGAAAATCTGAATTAATGCCTCAATCGATCTTTCTAGTTTGCTAGTCTGGTTCCGTCAAATCAACAAAATTCCCATGTTGCTCATGGACACTCAGTGTTGTCTTCGGATCAGAATTTTCACATATGGGGTGCAGCTTCCCCCTGTCATCTGTTAATGTAGAGGGGGAACACCACCCTGGGATTTAGAGAGCATAATTTCGCTTTTAGTTTTGCAAAGCTATCAAGTCTAGGAGATACTTTCCTTTGAAACAATGGTATCTATTTTTATCATTTCCGAAAAAGTGCACCTAAATTGGACTTAAATCGGAATTCCGAGTTCTTGGTTGCTTCTCCACAGCTTCCTGTGCCCCCGCATACCCTCACTGGCCTGCCGCACTGCGACAAGGCCGTAAACACCTCTAACAGCTGCCTGCCAGCCCAGGGTGAAATACTGTCTTTGTTCCGGTTTCCTCTGCCTCTTGGGCTCAGAGAACAGAATTCTGGCAAAATATATGTATTAGTAGAAAGATCTGATAGGAAAAAGACAGTTGATTTTCAGCCAGGTTTCTTGGCTGCGTTTGTAAGAGCGAACTTCTCTTTTTTTTCCTAGCCTTTTCAGAGACTGCACTCCCAGCTCCTGTGTCCACACAAGAAGAAACCAAGGCCAGGACATTGGCTCCCCAGTCTATAAATAGAGGTTTGGACTCAGGACGCTGGGAGTTTCGCCCACAAACCTCTGTGAGCTCTTAGGCTCCGAACAACCTTTAAATTTCGGGGTTTTTTCTCTTCATTTCCTTTCTTATTTTATTTATTTATTTATTTTGTTGTTGTTGTTAGGTTCACAGAGACAATGAAGGCAGTTAATGGCGGTGCCCAGCCTCTTAGCCTTTCCTTGTAGAGAAAATGTGCGACTTCCCAAACATTTATTTCTCAAGTTGCAACCAACCATTTCTTTCCAATAAGCTTTTAATATCACCACGAGGTTTACAGAGATACCCTCGATCCTCCATGTCTGCACATGACATTACCTTCCCCTGTGTAATCAGAACCATGTTTGTCACTGAAGCAGGCTGGGCCACCAAATCCAGGGAAAAGCAGCTGAAACCCCAAACCTACAACTTGGCCAGCAGAGCACCAAGCCCACCCCAATCCCACCCAGCCTCAGAACTCCAAGTCTACCTCCAGCCCCACACTGTCTCAGACCATCAAGTCCTTGAGCCCCACCCAACTTCAACGGAGCTAGCTAGCTGCAGGGCCTACGAACCCAGTCAAGGAGCTTGCTTCTCAAAGGGAATGCTTCCTCTCACCATCAGAGGATGATCTCAGTGTTGTCACTGTGTAATAGGGAACTGCTTACAAGATACAGACACTCTGAATAAAAATAAAATGAAAAACAAAAACCCACTCCAGAGACAGTGAGCCCTCAGAGTTACTGACCCAGGACAATTCTGCAGACATCAACTGGTCCTCCATTTTGAAATGAGAGTGATTCCATCCTTAATTACTAAAAAACACCTTTCTATAAATATACCACTTATTGTTCACAAATATTTTTACAGCCAACACTGTTATACTGGAATATTTGGGCAAACAATAAGGATTTGTCGATAGGCACGTTAGGGACTATAACACACCACCATGTGCGGTCTCATCCGCAATGCGGCAGATTGTCTAAGGTTTCAATGTTTCCCTATGTGTTCATGAAGGAACAGGAAATAGGGATTTCAAAATGCATCGTCAAATACCATCCAAAATTTTGAGGAGTAAAACAACATTATGTTCTGCAAAGATTTTCTTTTTTCCTGTGTATTTTGGTTCAGTAGTTTCGAAGTAGGGAGAACATTGCAGTATGGTGATTATTGGAAAATGAAAAAAAAAAACCCACAACGCATTTGGAAAGCAAAAATATCTACTCTTTCATTACTCTGACAAATGAGAAACACACGCGATGCTTGAACGTCTAAATGCCTTGCATTTCTCAAATATCTATTGGGTTTATCCTAAAACCTGTGCCAGATTTTCTGACATTATTTCCCATAGCAAACATCCATTTCGTGACATAAAATAGTCCAGATTCACCTGACACATTATCGGATTCAGGAGGAACCTAGCTTGGGTTATTACCAGTTTCCCCTTAAGAATTAGAGAAACGTTTTAAAATAACTAAAGCGTCTTTATACACAAGGCCCAATAAACTATAGATCCTAAAAATTGGCCTCACCCATGAAAGACATCCTGAATACACCAAAGCCGCCCCACCCCCCACCTACGACCCAACCCTCGAAAAACACCTGTTAACCTAGGGTAGCTCTGACCACCATCAAACCACAGAAACACAGCATTCTATACTATACGAAACCTTTACTGACCCCCCCCCCCCCCCCCCCAGCCAAGCTGAGGAGTCCAGAAACCATTTGCACATTCTTCCCAGGGCGGATTGGGGGAGGGGGGTTCGGGATCTGCGGGTTTCCAAGTCAAGGGATCTCTGGGGGTGGGGTGGGGAACGAAGGAGTCCCCTAGGCACTTTTGAGCCTAGCGGGACCCTACCTCGAGTCCCAAAGGACATACAGAGAACGATCCTGAGGTTCTTGGATAATGCAGGGAGCTGGGGAAGTGGCACCCATTGCCCGAGGCGGTGGCGCGGGCAGCTCCAGCGCCAGCAGGGTAGCTCTTACCCGGAGGGTGCGGAGCTGCGGGCGGTCGGCCCGGGCGGCGGCTGGAATCCCTCCGGCGCTGCCGGGCTGCGCTCACCCTCGGCGGCAGGTTTGGGCTCATGTTCCTGAAGGGATCGGGTGGGAAGCGCGCGGCCGGGGTCGCCCTGGCGACGCAGGCGGTCGGCTCCCCTCAGGAGTGTGAGCCGCGGCGGGTGGCTCGGCGCCCGGGGCTCCTTCCGGGCTCCCCGCCGGCTGCAGAGGCGTCGGCAACCGCGACCGGGGGCGAGCTGCCTTGGAGTCGCGGCGGGAGCCCAGGCCGCTGCGGACCACGCGATCCCGCAGCCGCTGACTAGAGCCCACCTCTGCAGAGACAAAGGTTAGAAAAAGAGGGGGTGAGGCTCTGGGAAAGCAGAATGCGGGGGCAAATTCGCCTGGGAAATCAGGAAAAAGGCCGTGAAGGCGAGCGGCGCCTGCACATGACCAGCCGCAGCCAATGACGACCGCAAATAGGTCATAAAAAGGTCTATTACCAAGTTGTAAATTTTCTTCAAACAAAAAGGAATTTACTGCAATTCCTTGCGGATTTTGCACATACAGCTCGCGAGCGCCATGTTTTTCCTCTTCTCTTTCTCTCCTCTCTCTCCTTACTACCCCTCCTCTTTTTATCTTTCTTCTTTCCTTTTTCTTTCCCTTCGGAATCTCTTTCCTCTCTCTTTCCTCTCTCTGTTCTCTCTCTCTCTCTCTCTCTCTCTCTGTTAGTTCTTTCTCGCTCTCTGTGTGTCTGTGTTCTCTCTCTCTCTGTGTGTTCTCTCTCTCTCTCTCTCTCTCTCTCTCTCTCTCACACACACACACACACACACACACACACACACACCAAACACATACACCTTTTCTAGGAATTACTGGGTATTTTTGTTTTTGTTTGGCTCAAAATGTCTGTGCAATTGGCCACCATGTGGGAGGAAAATGAAGGCAAGCATTGCTCCTGCTCCGGGGATGTCACACCACAGCGCCTCCCCCAGTCCCACTCCCCCCCCCCCACGTTGGTCACTTGGCTACTCTCTTCCTCTCCCTCACAAAAACACTTGTCCAGAAGGAAAACCAGGCACTCCCAGTTTTTACCTGCTCATTTCAAGAAAGCCACTTATCTTGGCACAGGCAAAGAGAGCACATTCATTTTCCACTTGGCTCCAACCTAAATTAGGGTCCCTCCTGTCTCCTGCACGTTTCTGTGGTGGGGGAGCATCCACCCATCCCAAAGGCCATTACACACATGTGGATGGTTTGGGATCCTTGTCTACCTCTCTGAAATACCATTTTGAGCACCCACGACTGAGCTTTTAATCTATTGCCACAGAAACGAACACCCCCCAAATCCCTCACTTTAGGTCCTAAGATCAATTCTTGCTTATTGGGGAAGTTAATACTAGTCTTCTGTGCTCTTCCTTCAATAATTTCAGGCCCTTACCCCCATGTTTGGCCATTGAAAAACGTTCAATGCAGCTCTAGGAAGAAAAGGTGCTTTATCTGTTCTTGAAAAAAACAATCTAGGGAAAAAAAATTCCTCAAAGGTTGGAGTCATATCACCTTTGTATTGTTGTCACTGAGAAGCTCTCTGGTGAGCTCCACCTGAAAGTCAATGCTATTGCAGGTTCCTCTCATGGGCACTGCGAACCACTGCCTACCTGCCAGGGGCCGCCACCCTGCTCAGTCTTTTCAGAACTGGCTATTAGGTATCTGCATGAGAGGTTGAAGCTCTCTGCCAGAAACATCTTCTTACCCTGTAAGTTACTAGTGAGAATGAACTTAAGTTGGAAATGCATAGCATCCTTTTGTGCAGGCCTTTTGTATCCCAAGAGAAAGTTCTGGTGACCTTGGATAATTTTAATTAAAGGGTTTCTGCCACCATCTGTCAGGAAAATTCTTAATTCTTGAAAAGGCCAGTGGGCCCTAATTTTGCTGGTCCATTAAAATATTTTCTTTTTCCTCTTCCCCTTTCCACGTCTAGACACCCAAGGATTCAGAAAACACCAAAGATGGAGGACAGACGCTGGATGTGAATTCTTATGCAGTGAATTAAACAATGTGTTATTACACACGTAAATGGGCAAGCTGGTGTTTATTCCCTGGTCTGTACACATGGAAGTGGGTAAAGAGATTGTTCAATTCTAAAACATTCTAAAAACTAATCTCAATTTGCCTCTGTATCATCTGCCCTATATTCAAATAAAAGCAGAGCTTATGGCTTGCCTTTTCAGTCTGGGGAAGTGAGGGATGGGAAGAGACGCACAGAGAGGCAGCCATGTTGTTCTGTTTGTCTGCTGTGCAGAGGCAAGCAACACCACTCAGAAAAATGGTATCCTTGAACTGACTTTTCTCTATAAAGAGTAAGAACCACACCCTCTCTTTGTCTTTCTGGCTCTGGTGTTGTCTAGTCACTCAGAAGGCTTTTCTCTTTTAGCCAGTGTTCACATTGAGGGGCTCTTGATTTTTCTGGAATTACAGATCTCCTTAGGTCTCCTTTCAGGATAGAAAGGCTCCACCTGGTTTTACCAGGTCTCTGAAGGTTTATGTAAATTTATGCAGAAAAAAAATTCTTTCCTTGCTGCGGTGCTTCACAGTTTACAGATCTGAACCAATCAGAAAAGCATCGTGCTTGCTTCCCAGCCAGTCCCTCTCTACTGAGACACCATCAAGGAGGGTGGGGGCCAACCTTGGTGAGAGGAAGAGAGGAGGGGGAGGGTAACTCCTCAAGGTCTTTATTTGGAAACCGATGATTTTTGGTAGCTGCAGAAAGCAGCATTCATTTTTACATATATCATCAATATTTTCTGTATGGGTGAATCTATGATTATCTATAATCTTTGGGCCAATGTGGCCCAAAATAAAGTTGCATTTTCAGAGCTGTATAGTCTGTCAGAATGTCAAAGATGTGGCGTTTTTATCTTTTCTATCCTTGACTTCTATTCCCACTCATTCACTTAGTAGGTCCTTTTCCTAATTGAAGCTTGCCAAAATTTATAGTTTGATATTTGGGAGAGCATTCTTGAGTGGGAGATAACTATTTTTAAATCTATTGATTTTTATTCTGTGTGTAGAAATGTTTTGGCAACATGCATGTAAGTGTACCACTTCCTGGAACTGGAATAATGCACGGCTGTGGGTCATCTCATGGATGCTGGGAACTGGAACCTTGGTCCTCTGCAAGAGCAGCCGGTGCTCCTAACTGCTGAGCCCTCTCCAGCCCCAGAGATAGCAAAGTATAAAGAGTTCCTTAAATCAAAAGCAGTTGGAGTTTAGCCAGTGCTGATCTTCAGGTAGTTTACACCTAAGGCTGTTTCCCAGCTGGGCTCTCAGCCTGAGGTGGCCTTGCTCGCTGCTAACGTGGAGAGCGATTGGCTCAGGCAGTACAGAAGAGCAAAACATCCCCAAGTCCAACATTGGCCTCTGCAGCTGTCTGCTCTGTACAAATGTTTAAGCCTTGGCCACTCCTGACTTAAATCGTCTTTCCGGGCTTAGGTTGACAAATGTCACAGCCATGGCCTCTTCCCTGGGTGGAGAGCCAGGTGGTGACTTGCCTTTAACCCAGCCAGTAACAATCCTACCGCTATCCACAAGATAGCAGACAAACCGCCCACTAACACGTGTCAGTGAACCTGGTCCAAAGCTAAAAAATGTATTTTTCTTACTGATGTAATAGAAACCAGCCTGGAAATTAACAATAAAACAAAAACCACACCCATAAAAATAAATGTGACTAGAAAAAGCAGCCAGATCTCAATGTCTACTTTAAGGTGTTTCTATTTTTTTCCCTGTAAGAAATATATTTATTTGAATTTCTCCTTTCCTTCCCTTCTTTTTTCCCCACCCCCACCCCCTGTATAAAAAGGCAGCTGCACAGACAACCCCAAATGGGAAATGGATATCCTGTTAATAATAGATGCCAAACCCCAGCTTCAACTGGGACTCTTTGGAATTAAGCTGTGGTGTAACCTGGACTCTGGGTCATCATGCCTATGACTTGACTTGAATCCTTTTGAAGTTCAAAGCTGTCACAGTATCATGCCAGAATTATTTAATGAAAGAAGTGTGGATAGTGAGCCTACTCTAGGAGGCCCCATACCACCACTGCCAACACCACCATCCAACAATTTGGGAAGTATATAACCCACACTCGCTTATCAAATAGAAGGCTTGACTAGGTCACTGCCGACGCGTGAGCCCTGGTCCTTGTCTGTGACTGGCCAGGATGGTGTTCTCGGCGCTCAAGGACAGCAGCTCTGCTCTTCTGGAGGTACATCTCTTTATTAGAGAGCTATGCTCTGGAGCGACTGCTTACACTCAGGGCTCATTTCAAACAGACGAGGCCATGGCTTCCCTGAAGAACAGCAGAGGATGGACGTACCAACCGGCATCTGAGATGAACATACAAAGCTGGCTTCGAACGAGCACAGGAGCAGTGTGGGGAGAATACAATAAATATGGCACCTACTTGAAAAAGCAGAAACACAGAGCATAGAGAGCTAGAAATCCCAGGCGATTACAAGCGGGGTTCAAAATGAAAGCAAGGACACTTGCCAGAATGAATAGTTAGTGAAAATGTTGCAATTAGTTTTCAAGTATTAATATTAATTCTCTAGATTATTCAATGGCCATAGTTTGTATGGACTGCAGAAGCACGACTAAATGTCGATTCTGACATTGTCCTTAAACTCCTGTCACTGGCACAACTCTCCCAAGTTTAAGGAAACCACCAGCCTGGACAATGCATTGCACTCTTCAGCTAATGTGCTTTTCCAATATTTGGCCCAGACTCTTCCCTGACATTTACAAAATGCTCAAAGAAACCTTCTGGAAGTAAGCCAGAAGACACCTGAACTATCGTTACAAAAGCAGAAAGAAAAATATAAATAATACATTTAATCAAATAATAAAGTAAATATTCTGCAGGCATAATTTTAAAAACATTATTAATAAACTTCTTTTAATTTACTCACCATAAAGACTTAAAATGTTCAAGTGCACTTGTTTGATTAATAAAGCATTTTATATTCAATCATCTAGCTGATCATTAGGAAGTTTATGTTGTTGAGGCAAACCACCAGCTCAGACGTTAAAAATTACCATTATAAAAATATAGCTACAAGGTCGGTATCAAATTACCCTTCTATAAGACAGCTCAAGGACCGCTTCTATGCGATACTACAAACTATTTTCTTTAAAAACACCCAAATCCCTTTCAAAGCGCAGAAACCTCAAGAGCAGTGACATTAAGGTAGCTTGAAACACAGGTAAAGTCCTTTCCAAAAAACAAGAGGGGAGAAACGGTGGTGTTCACCAGTATATGCTTATA